AGGCAACACTTGAGCTGCTTGTTGCCTACAAGGATCAAGTAGCAGGTCGCTACTTTGGAATCGATTTTTTTTTTTGGGTCAATGACCAGTTATAAATACCAGGTTTTCTTACTTTTATCGTTATTTTACATGTTGATGTCTTATGTAGTCTATGGTTTTATGTCTCAGAAGCTGCAAAGGAAGAGCCTGAAGATGATGATGACATGGATGATGGTTTGGAAACAGATGACGACGATGGGTCTGACAAGGAAATGGGAGTTGATGCAGAGGATGGCGATGAAGCCGATAGCTTGAGACTTCAGAGATTGGCTGCACAGGTTTGTTATGTCTCAAATATTTATGTATTTAAACGAGAAAAACTTATGTTATAATCAAGAATCTGGAAACACAAAGGTTAGATCTGATATATCTGTTGGTGTACCAAACTTATCTCCAGGCTAAGTCATTCCGCCCAACTGATGATGACGATGATGACTCTGATGACGACTTCAGTGATGACGAGGACTTGCAATCACCTATCGATGAAGTGGATCCATTTGTTTTCTTTATGGATACGGCAAAAGGTAAACTGCATATGCATATTCACATGGTAGTCGGAGAACACCTTTTTCCCCTTTTATCGTGATATCTATCACATTCGGCGCAACTAGTCCATGCAAAGTGCCCTTCTATATGTACCGGGCAAACTTTAGGACTTTCACATGGGGGAGATACCCCTCGCGTTGATGGCACCTATGTGATTCAGCAATGGAGCTATTATTGTGCAAGCTGAGGTGCCATCATCTTTTACAAAGTTTGCTTTCACACCCTTGAATATTATCACCAGAAATTCACCCATGAATTTTAAAATTTCAGTTCCCCAAAAATATGTTTTAAGCAATCCATGAAAATAGATCCTTTCTCCTTTGGTAATGTTTTTCTTGCACCAGCTTCTATTTGTATGCTATTGCTTACTCATATCCACCTTTTTTATTTTTAGTCTGTTTGCATCTCTCATTAACACACTTTTCACAAGCCTGGGGTCTTCGCCTCCCAGACCCCACCTCCGGGTGGGTATACTGGGCTTGCTCGGTTTGGTCTGATATGCAATGAGATCTTTTCTGAGCTCATTAGATTTAGTTGGCTAACATGGAAAATTTTCTTTTCACTTGATGTCTTCACTGTATAGCCTTGCAAGCATCAGACCAAATGAGGTTCCAGAACCTTTCGCAAACACTTGACTTCCGTTATCAAGCACTTGCAAACGGTGTTGCTCAGCATGCTGATCAGAGAAGAATAGAGATCGAGAAAGAAAAGGCGGAGAAGGCGGCAGCTGCTGCAGCCACCGCCTCATGATGTGTCACAAATATATACACCGGTGTTGAAATTTTGCTTTCCTGCCCCCAAATTCTTTGGTTGTCCCCATTCAAGAAGAACCCAAGAAGTCTTGATTTTGGCTTAGTGGTCATAGGTGGTCAATGGCGGTCAGTGGTGGTTTATCACAAAAAAGAGCGATTTTTGCTTGAACGAGAGAATTCAACAGGCTGGCTGGATTTTGTCTAAGTTGTGGGTTCTGGATATCGATTGTATGGGAGTCGAGTCGTGGCAAATCTATGGGAGATGATGCCTGTTTTTAAAGAACCTGGTAGTCGATCAGGTGATCTTTGTAGTTTTAGTCTATACGGGTCGAAAAGTCCCATTGAGGATAAAATGTACCCTTGTGGCTGGGGGTATGTCATGCATAGAGTCTTTGTTGATACTTGTTGATTTTTTGAGCTATTTTTCTTGCTTTTATCTTCATTTTCTTGGTCGTAGCCCCTGAGAACTTTGGTGGGCACTCGTTGCTATTTGAGCTCGGAGATGCTCGAAAGTTTTTTTTTGGTATGGTGACTGTATAACGATTATTTATTGTTTGGGGTACATTTTATTGGTCATGAAAAGTCGTCGCCTGTACATTCGTAAGGTTTTGAGTTGCAACCGTTTGGTGTCGTGTGTTTAAACTTGCATAATGGTAATACTTTTCCTTATTTCTCTTAAAATAAGGCTCTGATACCAACATGTCACGCCCCAAATTGTTTTTGTGTCGTGACGTCTATTTTAGTAACTTATGCCTTGTGAAATATACGTATCTTAAAAGCTTTGAAACATATATAATATGTTGAATATAATTCATTATATAATTGCAGAAAAGTAAAATTATTTAACATAAACAATGATAAATTTAATTTCTAAAGAAGCATGATCGAAAACATAGTCCTATTTTTCTTTATTCGAACCGTCTAGCGATAATTGACAAAAGAGATATAAGCATGTATAGTATAAGACTATAAGCTAAAAGCTTAGTGAATACAATATGATTTTGTGATAACATGCATACATAATATTGGTTTAGCATATTTTAATTATTATCTTGCAAGTGTGGCCTTGGCTCATCAATTTTCTTTGCATATGTGGCGTATTCTATGGATGGGGGCTTCAAGACCACGGAATTGCAAGCTTTCCTTTCAATTCCAACCTAGGCATGGCAACGGGGCGGGGATGGGGCGGGTTTTGTAATCCCCGGCCCCGGTTTGCAATACCGTCCCCCGACCTTGGTCCCCGGCGGGTACGGGGATTATCATCCCGTCCCCGGTCAAATTCTAGCAATCCCCAGTCAAAACCCGGTAATAAATATGCTCTAGTTTGATTCTATCGAGGATCCCCGGCCCCGACCCCGGTTTGAGTAACATCCCCCGTCCCCGGGACCCGTTTTAGCGGGGAATCCCCGTTCGGGTTCCCCACCGGGTCGGGGCAAATCACCATCCCTAGTCCAACCCACCCCTTACAGTGGATGAATTTTGCCGAATCATACTAGTTGCATACCATTTATTTGCAATATTAATTTATTAATGCAAACCTCATCATGTGATAGGTGTTAATTTATTAACCCTATTTGCATTGTTTTTACATTCTTTTAGATTTATTGTATTATCCCAATTGAGTCTTTTAGTCTTTGTTTTTACATTATTAGTAAGTTTGGAGTTTTGTTGAGGTTAAGTGAAATCCTTGCATTTTACATGAAAAATGGCCAAATCTCAAAACTGATCAAATCCTTTTGAATTCCTACAAGATTTGCTGATGTTGCAGATGCTGACGGGACAAATCCTACAGATTTCTGCAGGACCTGTATGTGGGCTACACACTTGGGCCTCATCATGGGCCTATCATTTTGGATTAATTAAGTTTTTGGGCTCGCTCTTTTAGGCTTTTTAGTAAACATTTGGGCTCCAAGTTCCCTAGACACTATAAAAAGGGACTTACGCTTGTATTTTGGACATATCTCATTAAGTTACTAATTTTTATATTTTAGTTTTAAATTATAGATTTTTTCCTTGAACTTTATTATTCAAGTAATATTTTTTGTGTTGGTTATTTTTTGTTCATTCATTTTACTTGCAATTTCTTGTAAAAATTAATTTCGCTTTTTATTTTTAGAAAATACCTTGACAACGTGACTCTACATTGGACTAAAAGTCGAATATTTTATTGTACAAATAAACTATGCAAATATTTAAGATTTGTAACGAGACTTTCTGCGTGAGTTTCCGACCTGTGTGTATTCTTGGGAGGTCATCTGACCCGATAGTCGGATATCTATGACAAGACAATTGTATGGGTGAAAAATATTTTATTGAAGATTACATTAAATTAATCGACGACTAATTTTATGTATAAAAATGTATTAACTTTCAGAATTAAAATAAATACGATTACCCGAGGTAATATAAGAAGACTAAAAACAGTTTTAGTACATGACAAATGCTATGTTTATACGGTGTAGGATGGTAATAAAATGTTGTACTAGGATTCACGGCGTTTAACATAAATAATGTTGTATCGGTAGTACGCCGACCTGCATGTACTCTTAGGAGATCGTCTGACCCGATAGTCGGATATCTATGACAAGACAATTGTACTAATTAATAGTACTAATGGACTATCCAGAAAATGCTATAATATATCTCCAATGGATCATTTGTTTCAGTTCTAATGGACCTTTACACCCTTAGTTTCTTTTTACGACTGATTTTCCGTAGTTGATAATTAACCAACCAAATAAAAGATTTCTTCGAATTCGCCATCTGAATCAATTTTTAAAGACTAGACTTTTTGAAAGACTCTACAAGCCATCTCTGTGGGAATAATATTCAGTACTTGTACCGTTATTACTTGTTACAACACGACAGTAGATTAAGGTATATACTTGAGCCAAAGTCTATTTTTGCGTTGAATTTTTAGGGTATTGAAATACCGACAACAAGTTTTTGGTGTCGCTGCCGAGGATGACAAACTAAAGTTTTTTGTTTTTAAAGGTAGAGTTTGTAAAAACTGATTTTTCTACCACCTTTTTTTTAAAAGCTATATATATATCGGTGCATATCAAAAATGTTCCACGAAGAATTTTTTCAACCTGACCCAGAAATTGAAACACTTTCAGACAAAGAAGAAGAGCGCAAAGAGCTTTGTTTGTTTTAACCTCTTCACCAATGATTGAAGTTAGAAGGGAAGATAAAGAAATTCTCAGGAGAAATTTGAACATGATCCAAATAATAATAATCCACCTTTGGACGAGGCACAAAATATCATTAGGCTTGCAAACTCTAAAGATGGAGGTATCATGGACTATACGATTCCTGTTTTGTCTCAGTTACATACGGGAATTATAAAACCCACTATGGTTGCCACCCAATTTTGAATTTAAGCAATGATGTTTCAGATGTTACAAACTAACGGCCAGTTGGCCAGTACGTTGGTTTGTCATCAGAAGATTCTCATTCTCATTTGAGATCATACATGGAAATCATAGATTCATTCACTATCCCTGGAGTCACAGACGATGCTCTGAGACTCAAAATTTTCCCATTTTCATTGAGGGATAGAGCTAGAGTTTGGTACAATTCTCTACAACTAGATTTTGTGGCTACATGGACCCAAATGGCAGAGAAATTTTTAAAAAATATTTTCCACCCATGAGAAATTCTAAATCTAGAAATGAGATGTCCACTTTTAAACAAATGGATGATGAAACAGTTCCTGATGCATGAGAAAGATACAAAGAGCTACTGAGAAAAATGTCCACACCATGACATTACGTATTGCATACAGCTAGAGAAATTTTACAATGGTTTAAACATTGTTGCTAGACAAATGTGTGATGCTATTGCAGGCGGAGCTTTCACAGCTAGTACTTATAACGAAGGTACTATCATACTAATTATATCAAATCATCATATACTTGGATATCATATACATCAATATAATCAAGTCATCACCATATGCATATAAACACATCATGCAAATATCATGGATAACTACTTTGTAATAATCATGTATATATCCCATAAAAATCGCATAGTGTATTCACCTTGCATCGTTAACGTTCGATAGGTCGTTCTCTAAAAAACTACAACTTACATGATAATTTATACCATTCATATGCACCTTAAATAATCGTAATTAAATTGATCACTATTTCCTAACAATATTAACACGACCAGTCTTAACAATTTTTATTGATCAATCTCCGGTACCATCATATCTCATATTTCGCTCAAATATTTCCTTAAAATATTATTAATAATGACGTCGTTATAATATTAATTGATGCTCGTACATTTTGTACAAACGTGCAATACACTCCACATTTTCTTTGAACGATAAATATTTTACCTAAATAGCTAAACTAAATAGTTTGTAACGTAAATAATATTTTATGGTCAAAATGTCACATATAAATAACGGTCTTTCCATAACTTTAAAGTTCAATATAATTAAATACTCGAAATAATGTTTAGAATACAAATTTTCCAAGTTTAGGGGAGTTTTGGTAATCTTGAGAATCCAAATACCAAAGGTATAGTTTTAACCAATTCTCTAACTTAGAACATTCTTGATGCATTTCATAAGTCGAATGTTAAAACAATGCTTAAAGTCCAATTCCAGAGGGTAGGGGCATTTTTGTAATTTTATAAAGCAAATACTCAAAGTATTTTTAAAATACCGATTCCCTAATTGTGAAGTCATTTTGGTAATTCCATAAGGATAATAATCAAAATAAAGCTTAAATACAAATTCCCAAACCACCTGGTCATTTTGGTAATTTTATAAAGATAATAATATAAAAATAAAGCTTACATATCAATCTCCAAGACATAAGGTTACTTCGGTAAATTTATAAAGTAAATACGTGAAATATTGTTAAAACCTGATTTCCTATTTATTAGGTCATTTTGGTAATTTCATGAAAAAAATAATCAAAATAAAGCTTAGATACCAATTCTCAAGATATAAGGTCATTTTGGTAATTTTATAAAAATAATAATGAAAACCAGGTTAAAAATTAAATTTCATAAGTCCAAGAAAAATTTCTGAAAATTTCAAAAAGTTAATGTTACTGAAATTATATTTTCAGAACTCAAGAGACTATAACGAACATTAATGAAAACTGTAGATAATTAATAACAAATTAAATAAATTTTGCAGCATTATTTTAACAAAAATAACATGTTTGTTTAAATGGTTAAGATGCTTGATTTTTATAGTGAAGGTCATGGTTTTGAACCTAGTCTTAAGCAAAAATTGTTATTTTTCTTAAAAAACGGATTAACACGTGGGTTTTGGGTCGGATCTTGACCTGACCAACCCGGTCCGTAACAGACGTAACAGCAGCCATGTCTGCTCATTTTTATGCGCTTTGAGCTTGAAAATGACTCATTTCTTGAATTTTTTTTTCATTTTTTTTACACCAAACATTTGGTAATATTTTTACCAACACTTTGACACAAAGAACACAAATTTTCATCAAGAAATGAGTTACATTTTCTCATTTAAAATTTTGTTTTCAAAACTAAAATTCAACAACTTCAAAACATAAAAAATCGAACCATGTAAAACACAAATATGAGAGATGAGGCTACCGGGATTTGATAGAGTAATTAAAATCAAAGTCATAAATATAAAAATCAAGGGATTTGGTTAAGAATCTCACTTAAAGTCGGTGAAAACCCGAGATTTTTGATTTCGAACTTAAAACTCAGATTTTTCTCTCAAAACTCAACGATTTTACTATCTATTTGAATCAAAACGATCCTAAGTCGGTGTTCTACATTTATATGCAAGAGTTTTGGCTTATTAGTTGACGAAATTGGACCAAATTGCGAGTTTTTTTTATTGTGAGGTCGTTTTCTTCAAACAAACATGTACTATTGACAAAACAGGTCCCTTATCTTTAAAAAAATGACATTCGGTCCTCTAAACTTTTTGACATTTACAACCAGTCTTCTGCTCTTACTATTTTAATAAAACTTACACTTTTACCCCTAAATTAACATTCTATTTCAATCTTGGTCATTTTTTATTACCATTTTATTATATCATATATACATATACATATATATACATATATATATATATATATGTATTCTAGATTACGATGAAATCATTGTATTTGTTTAATTACTTCATAGTTTTTGGGTTCACCAAAAGAATTTCCATGATTTTCCGAAGTACCATTTACTAAATTTTTTCGGGTATTACACATATCCTACCGAACCCGGATCGGTTTCTCTTTAAATTATGTTATTTTAGGACCCGTGCATACCTAGGTGAATAATCGTGTGAGAAGAAGAGTTAAGCACAGATGCGTAAAAAGGGATCTGAACCTTTGATCACCTTTAATCTCAAACACATACATGAATCGTGCTTGATACATTGATCTGGTGCATCTCATCCTAATATGCATTTAAGGAGTAGACCCTTTTTTACGTTTTTCACCTTAATTCTACTTATTATCGGAACTCAACCCGACATACCTGTCTAACAATGAGATGTGACATTCACTTTTTTGACCAAGCAAGTTTGTTAACTCCATTTTGAAGAGTAAAAAACTCATTACAACAAATAGTAAGACAATCAATGCTCATAACTATATAATTGGTTCCAAAGAGATAAGACATTCATATAACTACAAATTTTTTTGGTGAATTAATTAACAATAAACATTTAAAACTTTTAAGAGAATAAAAAATTGAAGATGAAAACAAACAAACAAATAAAAAGAATATTTTCAATAAACAAGAACATGTAATTATACCAAACCAAACGTGTATTAGACATAAGTTTTTAGGAAAAAGTCTAAAAAAAACTCAATGAACTTTATTGTTTGGAATGATTAAGTTTTTGGAACAAATAAGTTCTTGGACATTCCAAAACCTATTAAATAACTTCTTGGACTTTCTAAAACCTATTAGATACATCTTTATGACCTTTACAACTGGTTAATGTGGTAAAATAATGGAAAAAGTCTGGAAAAAAAAATCAACCGACTTTAATATTTTGAACAATTAAGTCTCTAAATTTTTTTTGAACAAAAATAGTACTTACATCTATATAATAAAACAAATATACCAAAAAGATACATTTTTTAAAATTAAAAATATGTGGTTTGTTAAAATAACAACTTTGGTCCTTGTGGTTTGTTAAAATAACAACTTTTGTTCCTTCAGTTTTGAAATTAAAAGATGACCATTATGATTTGTAAAAACGTCCAGTTTTGATCTCTTCATTTAACAACTGTTAAATTATTTACTCAAAAAATGTCCAAAGATTTAATCGCTTAAATTATATGAAGATTCGTTGGGTTTTTTTTTGAAATTTTCCCTAATGATTTTATCACGATACCGACTTCCAATCATTTTTATAGATTGTTTGATTTAATTGATTACAGTACTTAGTTTGTTAACAAATTGCTAAGAACTTAATTGCTCAAAATATGAACGTTTATGGAAAAAAAAATCATATTCTTCCCAAGAATTATATGTAAAGTATATTTATTTTCATCAAAATATATCCCCATTTTTGTTCATGCAATTTTTTTTTAATGAACATCAGTGTTCAGAACAAATTAGGCAGACTGATTAATTATACTGAGCCCTGGAATTAACAATAATAAAAGTTTAAGTAGCATTAAAAACACTCAATGGGAAACAAACTCAAAATTTTATCAGTCAACTCAAGGTTTAAGAGTTGTTTATCAGATATTTATTGAATGCCACTTATCATATAAGATGATTATGACATAGTCAGTCGAGAACCTTACTTGTTAAGTAAGTAAGAAAATTTTTACCCGATTAGTACCTTACTGGGTAAAAGACATTTACCAGCAATCTATTTTGATGACCGAAAATGTTATCTGATAAAATAAAAGAAGATTGTGACAATTACCGGTAAACATTTACCTGATAAAAGATTTTATTTGATCAATAATTTTGACTTTATAATAATTATTTAATTAATTAATCGTTCCATATTAAACTATAGAAAATAATATTAATTGTAGTTTTATTATTATTTAATTAAAATATAATATTTATGATAGATGTCACTTAAAATTAATTAAAGATTATTGTATAGTAATTTTTAAATATAACATGATATTACAATTGAAAAATTAGCTCAAATGACCATTTTTCTCGTCCAAATTGGTTCTTTAATCATTTCTTTCCTTGTTTGATCCAAATGTCATTACATTCGCAATATATTGAGGATCTGGTTAAAAGACAAAAAAAGGGTCAAATTCAACCGATTTATCGTCGTAATTGCAGAACTGGTCGTCACAATTGCATATCTATGTTAATTTGAATATTTTTTGGACTTAACTAGGTCCGCAATATTACAAACCTGAATATTTTAAAAGTAGTGATATTTATGGGTCGTTTACCAAATACTTATGCGATAAGTGTTAAGTCCACCAAAAACACATCGCATGTAACAATTTACTTACCGGGTAAAATTTTAGTCCATCAAAACGACATCGCATGTAACAATTTACACGGTAAGCGCTTACCGTGGTAAGAGTCGTCGCTCTCACTTACCAGGTAAGACTCTTGGTCTTTGTCTCGCTTTTACCGGATAAGATTTTTAGTCTGTACCATATTCATCCAATAAAATAATTTGACTTGATAAGCACTTATGGGTAAGCAGTTTACCCCATTTGGTAAACGCAGCTAAATAAGTCAAAAGAAAATGGTGATTCAACTCGGTAATCTACTACAATTTGCCAAGAGTGTCAAAGTCAATATTTTATACCAACAATACGTAGTGGCCTCCGATTTCCAACCTACTTTTGACTCCAATTTTAGGAACCCACCGGCCGGCAGTCCTTCCTACTTTACATCTCTCGCAATAAAATTCATGAGAAAAACAACCATTCGCACCAAGAAAACCAACAAACAAGAAGAAGGAAGGATCAATAGGAACAAAGAATGAAGTTGTTGAGAAGGGCTTCCGGAGCGTTAAAAGATCGAAGCAGTCTCCTCAAGGCGAGTTTGACCGTTCGATCCACGCTCCGGAATCCAGATATTGGGGTGGCAGTCATTAAGGCCACCACCCATGATGAATCATGCGTTAATTACCGTAGCAATCAACGCGTGTTTGCTTGGGTCAGAATTTCGGATGATCACCTGTGCCTTGTTTTGTGGGCCATCTCGGATCGGATGGGGAGGACCCGAACCTGGGCGGTGGCCTTGAAGGGTCTCATGCTTTTGCATGGAGTTTTCTGTTGCAAGGTTCCCGGGATTCAACAGATCGGACGGTTACCATTCGATCTGTTGAATTTCGAAGATAAACATGGAAAGCGCAGAAAGATGTCGGGTCTGAACGAGTTTATCTGCGCTTACTATGTTTTTCTGGATCAGAAATCGTCGTTTATATTCCTCCATTCGCAGGAACAGAGAGAACGAAGGGTCAAGAGACAATTGGAGTTATTGGCTGGAAACGAAACAAGTGATGAACAGAAAGAGAAGTCGATGATCCAAGATCTTATTTGGTTACAGAAACTCCAAGGTTTGCTCGACACGTTGCTCCAGATACGACCGAAATCGATCCAAATGGTGAACACGCTCGTTCTCGAAGCCATGGACTGCATAGTGGTTGAGATTTACGATATCTTCAGCCGTATTTGCAACGGGATCGCAAGCGTTCTGGTGAAAGTTTACTCTGCAGAGAAAAACGAAGCCGAAATGGCCTTCTCCATTCTGCAGAAAGCAAAAGTTCAACACGAAGAACTCTTGTTCTATTTCGAGTTCTGCAGGGAAATCGGGGCCGTTAACGCCTCCGAATCTCCCAAAATGGAACAAATTCCCAAAGAAGGCATCCAAGAACTCGAGCACATAATAAATGGAGAATCAGAGCAATCCAAAACCGACAGATCTCCAAAAGAAGAGGAGAAATCCATCATTGTTGTGGAGTATCAGAAATCGAACAAAAATCATAGTCGCAAGAACTCAGTATCAAGTTCGAAAACTGTAATTACCGATGATTGGGAGCTTTTCGACGAAGAACAAAAGAAATCGTATCAGAATATTGAGCTTATCGATCTGGTTTCTGCATCTGCGAAGAACAACGCCAGTGTAGATCATTTGGTGCGACGAAAAATAGTTGAAGTACCCGATCTGATAGTTTTCTGACTCCTCGCTCGGATTAGCATCTTTAGATCCAGAAGAACATTAGCAAATTTAGAAGTTTTTCATTCGTCTGTACGTGAAATTGATTATAAATCCTAAATGCTTTTCATCTGAAAATTGCATCGAATCAAAACCAACTTTGAGCTAGGAAGGGAATCCAATAAGATGGTTGATTTTTCTCAAAATCCAGAGTAATCATGGGAACAAAGAAGGGAAATTAAGAAAAACATACATAAAGAAATGTGCGTTTAGCGTCTATATGTGTACCATTCTTATGATTCCTTTCCAATCGATCTCCAAAAACACTATAATTTTGCCGGTGGGTTCTTGGTGGGTGAAGAAGACCGGCATATTTGCCGTGTAGATGAAGACCGGCATTTATGCCAAATGGGTGGTCCCCACCAACTTTTTCTAATATTTAATGATTTTTAACTAAATTATAAATAAATAAATAATTATAAATATTAAGTTTTAGGTTTTTATATTTATTATTTAAATTTATATATATAAAATATGTTATTTTAATGTGGGATCCACAAATTTAGTGTTTTTTTTAGAGTGTGATTGGAGTTGAGTTTTTTTTTGTGTTTATAGGCTCACCAGATTTGATGTTTTTGGTGTTTTTTTTTGTGATGAAGTTAGAGTTGCCCTTAGGATAAAGAACCTATATGATTGTTGATTTTTCTTAAAATCCACACCAAAAACAAATCTAGGATTCAAAACCGAAGATGTATCTGAAACTATATACTTCTCATTGTGTCACGACCCAATCACCCAAATTCCATAAAACATTTGGTGCTCATTGAAACCCAACAAAAACCATCAAATAGACCGAAGGCCCAGTCAATGAAATCGAACATCGTTGTGTTCATTAAGCTTTCTACATCGCTAATGTTAAATAAATCACCACGCTTGGTGTTCATACAAAAAACAAACAAGAAATATAAGATGAAATTTACCAGAAGTACAGCGTAGAGAGTGAGATAGACGATAGAGTGAATCGTGTATTCGTGATAGGGCATGAGATTGAAGTCCACTGCAGAGCGTGAGGATGAAAAGTGAAAAGGTAATTTTTAGAGAAAATTTTATGAAAGTGAGTTGCTATTTCATGCACTTAACCCTGATTTTTATTTTGTTGTTTTCATTACACATTGCCCGGGTTGGGTTGATCGTGTTGAAGACATTTGAACAACTCAACTCAATTCTTAAGGTTTGAAAAATCTTAATCTAACCCAACCTAAACCAAAATGTAACTCAACTCAACCTAAATCGTATGGGTTGGTCGGGTTGATAATTTGGTACATTAAAATATTCTTCTTACCTTAAATATGTTATTTTCATACTTTTTACATATATCACATTCAGTTAATCATATTTATGAATTTAATATTGTTAGTCCCGAAGGGTAAGGCAATAAGCAGAAAGTAATT